AACCCTAAACCCTAAACCACTTGCACAGGTTTGTTTGGAAGACTTGGGTCGGCCCAAGGTGGCCTTAGGGTTGAGGGGCCTTAGGGTTGAGGGTTCTAGGGTTTTAGGGTTTAGGCTTTCAGGATTTATAGGGTTTTAGGGTTGAGAGTTTTAGGGTTTAGGGTTTTGGGGTTGAGAGTTTTAGGGTTTAGGGTTTTAGGATTAGCGTTCAGGGCTCAGGGTTTTAGGGTTGAGGGTTTTAGGGTTGAGGGTTTTAGGGTGTACGGTTGAAGGTTTAGGGTTTGTTTGGCCAGGTTTTAGGGGTAATTGTTGTAAAGTGCCATTATAGATGGGACTATGACGAAATACGACTTGTTCTTCCGAGGCCACTTTACAAGGTGTTGCAGTACGACGTGAAGACCTACTCGTTAATTCAAGGGTGCTGCGCTCTCTGGGCCCCGGCCGCGCAAAGATCAAGTTCAAAGATGCGTGGATTCAAGTAGGGTGTAGGGTTTGGGTTGAGGGGTTCGTGCAAGAATCCTCAGTTCAGGTTCCCTCGCCTCTATCGTATGCCGGGATGCATCTTGTGTCACTGACTCCGGGTGCCGCACATACCTTGCCCAAGCTTCGGGTTGGGGGGTACTGTAGGGGCCTGATCATGAGAATGGGCTTTCGGTACATTGTACCATACCATAACAACCCTAAACCCTAAACCCTGCACCGTATGATATAGCAGAATTAAGTATAGCATAACACTTGACAACACTGACCTGCAAGACAATATCATCAATTGAACCAGGGCTTAAGGGCCATATTACGGTTCTCAGGCTTCCCGACGCTAGACGTATCTATGGAGTCGACTTTGCTAAGAAGCGTATTCCCACATGTCTTCCGCTTAAAAGAAAAACCCCAAGCCAAACCCCAAAATCTCAGACTTGAAAGCAACCCCAAAAACAACTATGTAAAACCAAAACCCGCGTGAATATAGAGGCCTAAAGTGTAAAGTTCGTTATTGCGCATATGGTCTCACGCACTCCAAACCGTATGTAACTGTTACGGCCCCGACAATGGAGCCCCAACCACCACTCCTTGACAAAGTAAACCCGAAACGCTAAATCTCGAAAAGGCCGAAGGAGCATGCTCACCGCGCAGGCGGCAAATGAGATGGTACCATAAAAGCAGACTTGCGGAAACAGAACGCCTGGGAGAGAGCTTTGGATTTCGGGGAAAGCGGATTACACTTCGACATTTGAGGATTAGGTCTTGGTCTCTGAAGATTTTGCGGTGCATTTGGGGTTTTAGGATTTTGGGCTTACGGTTCTCGGGTTCATAGGAGCTTCAATTCGTGCAGGCAACTACTTCGACACTCTGAAACAGCGTATCCTCGCTTTACGCACAGCCCCAAAAAAAAACCATCTTTACAACCCAGCATGTACCCTCAACCGCGCAAAATTATACATGTGCTACTGCGTTACTATCATACATATCTCAGTGTAGACACTCTGCACATATTATATGTATGTGTGTGTGTGCATGCATGGGGGGGTTCCGAAAATAGTGGATCCGAAGGTAGTACCCTAAATAGTAGGATCCTTTGTATGAGGACCCCCAAAAAAGGTACCCCTTATTCTCGGAAACTCCCACATAGCCTACCCTAAACCTAAACCCACACAAATCGGATCGAAGAAAGCACACACAGAATAAGAATGATAGACAGGCTTTAAAGGTGGTTCAGGGTTTAGGGGTTTGGGGTTTAGGGTCCCTTAGTGTTTAGACTAGGGTTTTGGGGCGCAGTATACTGTAGCTGTAGCTATATTAGGGACCGCGGGCAGATACTATTCACGAGTATTCCGACACCATGTTAGAGATCAGCGAGATGTTCAGTTTTGCGACAACGAGGGATGTTGTTGCGTGAGGAAAGTGGTCCCACGATCTGCTACGATGATGGCTGTCGGTGATGAAAGGAATATGGGCAGTTCTCGAAATTGGGGTCCCGTTTGGGGTCCTGTTTATAAGGGTGCCGTACTATATTGGGGACCTAAACATGGACCCCAATTTAGAAAACTACCCTTTTAACGAAGGCTACACTGGAGGCACCTGAGCTTGTATGCTTCTGCTGCCTGTTGATATTCAGGTCCCCTAAACCCCTTCACCCCTGAAGTCGAAACCCTAAACTCAAAACCCTTCACCCAAGGTTTAGGGCTTCGGGTTTGGGGTTTAGGGTTTAGGGCTTAGGGTCGGGGGTTTAGGGTTCAGGGCTTTGGGTTTAGGGTTCCGGGCTTAGGGTTTAGGGTTTACAAGTCCGCACGTACAGCCGGGCTCTGGGCGCGACTTCTCGCACGTGTCCTCCCAGGGCTGCAGCTTCGCAGATACTCCCCCAGCTCAGGCATATCAAAGAGCATACTATACAACATACTTCTGCCTAAACCCTAAACCCTAAACCCTAAACCCTAAACCCCAAACTCCTAAACCCTAAAACCCGAAGCCCAAAACCCCGAAACCCTAAAGCTGTCATAACTGACAACCACCCTAAACCCTAAACCCTAAACCCTAAACTCTAAACCCTCGAGCTTTCAGGCTTTCAGGTTTAAGGGCTGGGGCAGAGTCCAGGTCGCGGTCCGAATGTCGCTGTAACTTTAGGGTTTAGGGTTTAGGGTTTAGGGTTTAGGCCTTAACAATTAGAATAGGGTTTTGGGGCTCCTTTAAAGGGATCCTTAAAGGGTTCTATAAGGGCTACTACAAGGGCTTAGGGTTCAGGGGCCTTAACAATTAGAATAGGGTTTTGGGGGCTCCTTTAAAGGGATCCTTAAAGGGTTCTATAAAGGCTACTATGAGGGTTTAGGGTATAGGGGCCTTAATAATCAGAATAGGGTTTCGAGGCCCAGTATACTATATTCAAAATAAGGATCTCCCCAAAATAGTTTAGGCAATTATTTAGGCCCCCACATTAACTTCAAAGCGCAATCACGACTTCTCTGGAGCTGGTTCCTTTGAACAGAATGGCTGAAGCTTTAGGGCTTAATTCGGGCTTAGGGTTCAGGGTTTAGGGTTTAGGGTGCTTCAAAAGGGTTGAGGTAAGCGTGCCTGCCCACCAGCCAAAAACCCACCAGGACCCGAAGTGCTGATTGCAAGTAGCAAGGCGTAGGATTCAAGGTTGAGCCGCGTCAGGCTTGGAGAGTTCACCTTTTTGGAGGTTTGGGTTGAATCAAGGTCCTACTCCTAGGCCCAACGTACATCCCCTAACCCTAAACCCTAAACCCTAATGCCCTTAACCCGTAAAACAAGGTCTCTGCGTGAGCCTTGGGCAAATGGAACTGGTTGACGAGGAGATCTTTCATCTCCTTGCGGAGCTTCGCATGCCACGGCTTTGGGTATCACATGAGTAGTTCTCTAAATTAGGGTTTAGGGTTTAGGGTTTGGGGTTTGATTTGTAAATCCCAAATATAGCACGGCACCCTTGTAAAAAGAATCCTCAAAGGGATCCAAATTTAGAGAACTACCCACATCTACACCAAACCCGAACCTTTTGTCCGACGATCCCTGTGAGCTATGCAAACCTTACGCGGAAAGCACAGCAACAAAAGATTTGGTCCGAGAGAAGGTAAGATAAACAAGTGACCAGCCTTGGATATCCTTAGAGCCTTTGAAACCACTCCAACTTCACCAAACCGCAACACTCAAGCCCTTAAACCCTAAACCCTAAACCCTAAACCCTAAACCACTACACCTGACCTCAAGTGTGTGCGGGTACCCTTAAGGCTTCGGATCCTGCCGGAGTTTATGTGGACTTCAGGGTTTAGGGCTTCAAATTACTGGTTCCCCTTACTGTAGGGGCCTTAATAAGTAGAATCGGGTTTTGGGATATAGTATACTATCACTCTAAAAAGGAACCCCAAAATAGTATAGGTGGCCCCTATAGCCGTCCCTAAACCCTGAACTTTTCAGTGCGAGGTTCTGCACTTAAGGGTTTGGGGCTTAGGGCTTGCGCGTTGAGGGTTCCCGATGGCTTGCAAGATCCAGGTCCATCAAACCCGAAATCCAAACTCCCAACCCGAAGCCCTGTTCAAGTTCAGGTTTAAGGTTTGTCCCGTAGAAGATTGTACAGTGTGCCTTACCGCGACTTGAGTCAAAGCGCCCCCCATGAACGAATGGGCATAGGGCTCTTTTGGGTGGCCTACGAAACCGTTGTAAAACCCTCGCGGCCTTGAGATGACCACATAAAACCTGCAGCCCTAAAGCGCTGAGAATTCCCCAAAACCCTACTAGACCCTAGGACCTAAACCTTAAGCGCGAGACTGCCAGACCCCAATCCTCAAAAAAAGAACAAGCAAAACCAAAGAAAATGCAATGCGCCGGAAGGAGTTTCGAGCCTCGACGCGGCCATCGCATATGTACTGAGCCTTTCCGATTGGGGAAAGGGTTTTCGGTTCAGGGTTCAGGGTTTAGGGCCTTCAAATCTGCGACGAAACACTATCGATCCTAGAACAGCTCCTTCTGAGTAAATAGCTCCAATCTCTCAAACCCACATGGATCCCCGGAAAGACTAGCCCCCTACAGCCTCTGCAGCTCACGATGTTAGGCTTGGGGTTCCAAGACCCTGCCTGCCACACCCTCCAAAATTCTGAACACTAAGAGTAAGTAAACTGCAAAACTGGTCCAGGCACCGGTCATGGTGATTGAAAGGATGAACGGTGTGAATGCTGTTGCTGTGGAGTCTTGTGCTGCTGCATGGGTGCGGCGGTGGCAGCAAAGGGCAACAGGTGCGTAATTTAATTCTTCGAACTGGTGCGATCATTGCGTTTCGATGACTGTCCCGGTTAGGATGACGACAGTATATCATGATCGTTGTGACGGCTCTGAAGCTATGAGTATTTATAGGACATGATGATGGAATGTCGATGCATAAACCCGTGACAGTGATTTGCGTGACTAAACCCCAAAAGCCGTAGGGCATGGCATAGCCCGTACCTAGATCGAAATTACATGGCACATCACAAGCATATATGAGAATCAGGCTTGTAACTAGTCTGATATCATTCTATGGCGTACACACCTCGTATCCGGCGACATTAGCGGTGCCGAAAACCGCATCGCATACTCTGAAGGATGGATTCCAGAGGTTCCTTCAGGCTCAGGGGAACTTTGGGTTCCGGTGTTGCATGGGTTGGTAGCCAGGGTCCGCGCGTCGTAGAAAGCCAGGTTCATCTCCTGCGGCAAACGAGCGTTGCGGAGTACTGCAAGCAACTATACAGGGTTATGGGAGTTCTGCGACACACTGTACGCGGATCCCGAACGGCGACCCCAAAAGGAAACCCTAGACCCACCAAATCAAAGGTGCTAACAGGCCCGAGCCATTAGGAAAGTAGCTCAGCCTGAAATACGACAACAATGCCCGAGAACCCAAGTCGAAGAATACAGGTAGACACGTTTCAGACGCAGGGCTCTGTCCGCTGGATAGATCATTGAGGAGTCCAGGGGCCTCTAAACTCCGAGTACAAGCCTGAGCCAACAGCGGACTTAGGACGTCTTCATCCTCATTCCCAGATCATTGTTTCGCTTTTGTCGTCTTGTCACGTCCGGGTCCGTCCTGTAACAGACGGTCGTTGCTGAACTTT